ACAATAGAATATCACAGTCAGTGAGGCTGCAATATGTCTCAGGATTTTGGTATGGGCTTCATCCGGTCCTGTTGACTTTTCCATGTCTAAGGTACTGAGAGACTTAAGTGCACCATTTTGATCATAGTGGGCAGACGAGTTGTTGACTTTGTATTTGGGTCTAGTTCTTCATCTCGAAGAGTTTCCTGAGTGAAAATTGCTCTAAAATAGTTTGCCATAGCCCCTGCTTTTTCCTGATCGTCCTCTACACATTATGAACTGCGATATACTGCAACTAATTCAATATCTCGCCGTCTACATTTCAGGCTGCAACGCACCAGCTTGCATTTCCCTGAATCATGTGCCACTGTCTCAACAGGTCGTGTGGTTAAGGTACTTTGAGTATGAAGGATAACCACGCCTCCCCTATTGTTTAATCTACCAGCCCTACTGGATAGAAAATAGTCGATTGATTTTCATCATCAGTCGCTTCTGATGGTAACCATGTTTCTCAGACAGCAATCACATCCGGTTTTTCTATATCCACCACTGACTTGAGCTTCGCCATTTTATTTGGCAGGCTACGAGCGTTTGTATAGCATACTTCTTCTGATCGTCTCTTAATACGATCAACCATGACGATATTCTCACGGACGTACATTCCGGATCTAATCAGTTTGCGTTAGTTTCCGAATATCAGGTTCCTTTTTTCAGCCAAACTAAAGGTAATTTTCAAGAGGCTGTTTTTCTGAGTACTTTCAGAATCCACCAATTGTCCTATTCTATCAAGCTTACAGATGCTCACTCCTGAAACTGATTCTGGGAGTAGCTTGTATATTAAGGACTTAATATGGCTGAGATTGTGTTCAAATCTAACTTCTGGTTCATTTTCTCAAGAGTTCTCTCAACTTATGAAAAATGACTGATCTACCAGCAAGATCCGTCTTAACAGTCTACAGAATTTTAATTCCTGAAATCTTCTCCTCCTTTCAATCCGATTCCGGTTTGACCTCAAAAGAAGTAGTCGCACTTTCCTTCCTTACTTCAATTTTTCGGATGTGACTGTAGGCCAGTCATTATCCTGTATACTCCTCAGTGTATGCCCCGCCATAGTCTGTTTTGCGTTGACATGTGAATCCGGAACTGAGACCGTAGATTCACATACCTTAGTACTGTCCATAATTAGTTTCTTCTCATCCTGCTTTTTCTTTTTCCTTGTGACAATGCCTACATCGGTATGCTTGTTATCTGTTTCACTGATGAAGTCTACCCCAATGATCTCATTCAAATCCAGAGCTGGGCTCATGATAACACTTGCTATTCCCTCGAAAGTGGAATTTTTCTCGTTTACTGTTGCTTGTTTATCTGAGGGCGATTTTCTAGCTATGTTCATTAGCTCAATCACCTTTAGAATCAGCAGAGACTTGTAGAACAACATACTTCGCACAGCAACGTGATAATGGCTTGTAGCATCTTTTATTTCCAGCCGATGTGAGTTCGGTGCACACATTGTGATAAAACTTATTGCAGTTATCAAATTGCACTCCATCATTGACAGGGAAATAGCATTAGGGTCTTCCGCAACGATGTTTCATTTGCGTCGTAAATTTGATTTGTGATTTCACAGCTAAAATTTATTTCTAGATAGGTTTCTTTTGAGGCTGGATACGTGATAGACACGGCATACAAACAAAAACAAATGTTTGTATATAACTGCACCTAACAACAATAAAAATATCCGACTTCAGTAGTTAAAAAAGACGTTAACACCATTTGGTACAAACAATACTAAAAGATATACTCAACAAGGATAAATAAATACAAGCGCCCTTAGAATTTTGTACCTGTACAGGAAAAGTAAAGATGATAAACTTCTCTAGAAAAAGCAGTACTCTTGGGGATTACCTTAACAGAAATATAGTCAATTAAGACAAGAACAGTAGTCTCGAAACGTAATTTAACGATCAATACTATAAAATATACTCAGTAAAAAAATACTACTGTCCTTTTTAAATAGATCGCGAGGTGAATAAATCTCCTCAGTAATTGTCTGCTCGGCTGCAGAGGTCTTGTTATTTATTATTATTTATTTATTTGAACACATATATGTTGATACAGGAGGGCACCAAATATATATGCGCCGCACGTTTGTGTGAGGGCTGTGATACTACTCGGGTTTTCAGACCGAAGCAGGTGGTTTTCTTAGGCGACCGCACCCCGAGCCTTTGACCTAAAGGTCTAACCCATAAGGCAGTGGAGCATCGTGAGGAGATTCAGTCCCATGGAAGCCGGTGACCAACGATTGGTTCATATGTTATTTGTTCCCGCAGGATACTGGAGCCCATGTGCACCATTGGTTTGGGATCCGGTTAAAGCGCCGGACATTCGCTTTTCGTCCTCTCAACTTCGTAAACAATACCCCTGCCACCAGAAGGTAGTGAGTAGGACTTCCCTGGCAGAGGCTGCATACGCATGGCCGTGTGATAGCATTTCGAGAGGGAGGGCCGGTTCAGCCCACTCTCGGCCATACCAGGGCATTCGGGAGCAGAGGTCGTGCGGCTTGGATCAAATGCCAATACAAACCTCTGCCTATCGTAATCGAACCGATATGGTTCTGCCACACCTCTGTTTATCCATGAATTCAGTTGTTCCTGCGAGTGCGCTGCCAAACAACTGAACCAATGAGTCAGTGAACACCTCCCTTCGCGGTTAAGAAAAGGTACTACCAAGAAAATATGCATCTCAGTTCTATCACAAGTGATCGATAGCGGTTATGTATTAGACAGAAACAGACCAGTTAACGTTATTTGTCGTATCCCCTTTAGTTTTCCTTACGGGGTTCGGTCTCGTCTTTTACACAAAACAGAATCCACAGGAATTCGAACTAACAATCCAAGATTTTGTGTTCATAAGATATTTGCAACACCTTTATCTCTCCCATGGTCTTATTAAAAGATTTTATCTATTATTATTTTCTACATTCTTCGATTATTTTTCTTCATCCCTCCCGCTCTTTTCTTTTCTCAAATGTAAACCTCAATGTTCATTTACCTGAACATCCTTTATTGCATAATCTTATAACTTTCGATGAATGTTATTTCAGTGTGTATTTTCCAAGTCATCGACCTACTCCCTGTTATGAAACATTGATACAAGCCTTTATTATTTTTACCACAACTAGTACACCTGACATCACACTATCACTTTTTTTACTTATTATGCTTATTTATATAATCTATTCCACTGTTATCATTGTCTCATAAACTGCCTTGATCAGTTTAATAATTTTAGATCTGCATCTAGATATTCATATATATTTGAGTAAAGCCTTATGAGGATCTAATCGAAAGCCATATTGTTCACTTATATATGTTGTTCAAAACTACGATATAGGAATTTTTCAAGTATTATATGTAAATCACGTTCCAAATTAGTAAAAGCACTTTTATTGTACAGATGGCTAATTGATAATGTCATAAATAAGCGGAATACAAAGTCATTGATCTCATGCATTTTGTAAAGTGAAAGTACTAATAATGCCATGGGAGAAGTGATTAGACTAGCTCGAAGTTCTTCGTTGATATTCTGAAATAAGCGTTAGAATACTGTACAGTTAAGACTCGGCGAAAGTGGTCATAAGTAGCAGTAAGACGCAGAAAAAATAGTTGGAAAACTGTTATGTAGAATCTGGTATGCCATGCTTCGATGAGGAATCTTAATCACTTAATTTTAAACTAGGTCAGTCACATAGATGAGCATCCGCATTTATAATATCTGTCCTTCGGAAACCAACGGTTATTTGTACTCCTCTGTAAACACTTTGGTGCACAGTTAATTGTGATGCAATATCACCTACGGGATGGGCATGTTGGAATCACACAATAGTTTAGTGGTCTTTGCGAGGTGTTCTGAATTATTAAGGGCCATTCTGATATTCATATGGTTTTAAAAGAAAGCTGCCTATATCAAAAACTATACTTTGTGTGATGTCCCTGAGTAAGGGAGTCATAACAGAAATGCTGTCAAGAAGTTCATGTACTGCCTTTTTGCCTGGTTGGTATATATAACTTTAAACTACCTTAAAGTAATTGTTAAATTTTTTTCACATCAAAGGCATTTATACAAAATTGACTCATGCTTTTAGTACGGACTCATTTTTATGTGAACTATCATGGATTTTCACAGAAACAGGAAACCGAATACAAATATTTCGCAATAACAGCTTGAATTATAGAGGAGCGGATGATTGTTTGAAACATTATTAGATATCGGAACTAAAATGAGGTTTAGAGTGATCTTAATGTTGTGAAATCACTTCTCTCTCAAAAAATAATCACTAGTGAGACCATGCAACCATTTTTGGCCGAAACAGAATACTAAATAATCAAGTGCTCGTAAAAATCACAAACGACTATGGTAGCGTAGGGGCTCTCACTCTAATTAAATTGTTGTTGGTTTAAAAAGACTATGGCTGGTAGAAGCACCTGTCAGTGAAACTTTGTTCTGCAACAAAATATGGAAAGAACCATTAGCAACAGCATTTTAGAAAGGATATTTACGAGAATATTGATCCACTCTTTAGACTGAATCTAATTGGTTGAATGCATAGAAGAGCTCGCTTCAAGACAATTTAGCCATCTTCACCAACATCAAACCATCCAGAATTCTACGGCTTAGGCTGTTATCAAACATATAAAATACGACCCCGATATATACGCATATATATATATATATATATATATATATATATATATATATATATATATATATATATATATATATATATATATATATATATATATATATATATCATCGTCATTTTATTTAAATTTATATATTAAATGCAACGACTAAAAGTCTTCTTTGTATTTAGGGGTATATTTATAAATAATATTTGAAATATTGCGAAAAAAATACTTAATATTCGAAATGGCTACTACATTTTTAAATAAAATACTGGGGAAATTGTCCAGTTTTAATTACTATTCATGTTTTTTTCAGTGTTCAAGTAAATATTGTATTCATGATGATGATGATGATGATGATGATGATGATGATGATGATGATGATGATGATGATGATGATGATGATGATGATGATGATGATGATGATGATGATGATGATGATGATGATGATGATGATGATGATGATGATGATGATGATGATGATGATGATGATGATGATGATGATGATGATGATGATGATGATGATGATGATGATGATGATGATGATGATGATGAATTACAGAAGCCACTTTACTTGCAGACATGCAGATATACAAATAAAAATATTTTACCAAAATCTCTAGTATTTTGTTTTCGGTATTCCAGCATTGACATCATTTTCAATCCCACATTCATTTTTACCACGAACTATTTTAAAATAACCATTATCCCCCCAATCACTATTCCATGAATTAGCAATTAACCAGTAGGGTACATTATTCTCTTCACCCCAACCAAGTAAACGCACTGCATGTCCTCCAAGTAGGGCTCCACTAACGTGTTGGTAAACACCTGATTTGTAATTTGGGAAATCGGCATACACTTCAAAATCTACTTCAACTGGTCCATTTTGCATTAGCTCTCGCATGATAGCTTCTGGATTTGAATGAACGCGATAGACTTTTTCACCTGCAAATGAAATGTTGACCAATGTACAGCGAGAACTGATTTCGTAAAATTAAATTACTTATGAACATACATTCACAATATTTTGTCGGCTGATCTTTTCCAAACCATAGTTTGTTGAGATTGAAAAGAAATATATACGTATTTTCGGAAGAAGCTTTCCTGTCCACCACTTGTGTGAAAACCTTAAATCTCATGTATCACTGGCCGTGGAAAACTATCGATCCATTTGGTAACCTACTTAGTCACTTTACTCATAACTAAGCCATTATAAATCGTCTCCGACAATATGCATATCAGACAATTGAGGAACAAACTGTAATGTCAGTCGGTAAGTCGCAACGTAGAACCTTGTACGTATATCCACCGGTTCACGTCACCATACCCCACTAGCACAGAGAGGTGAAATTTTGTGATGTTCGTATGAGCTAGTAATTATTTTGTACTCGATGTGCACCTGATTTGGAGGTCCAAATACAATACGTTCGTTTGTGCTCACATAGTTCGACCTGACTGAAATTGCATTATTTCGTGGATTCCTAGTTCATAGAATAGTCTGAAGGCTTCTAATTATCACAAATTGTCAGATCAAATCCCGAAATAGTAGAAGTATTAACAGTTCGAGTGGTGATAGAAAACATCAGGTATCAATGATACGATTCGAGAAAATATAAATCAGTGAAAGAAAAAAATTATCACTAAATCAGAAGTTCAGTATTTGGAGGAACACAAAACATTAATGCAATTGTGTCAATGTAAACAATTTTGAGCCATGTCATTCAGTCTTTAGCAACCGGTTATGATCACCACCCAGACCACAACAAGAGGACTTTTATTGGCCTACGTTTAAGCTGCCTTCATTCAGTCATCGTATTCGGAGCCAGATAGGACGAGTTTCCGACCATCTATCGGTTCAGTAGACACCTCTGGAGTCCGCTAGTCCATCCTAACCCCTTTGTCTAAGTAATTGGCAGATGTCACTGCTGTTTCTACAGCTTTCTGGATGTCATGCAAAGATACCTCGGATTGGATATCACTTTCGCGGTTGAGTAACTGCTTCACTAGGCGTTCCTAAAAAATATTTTTAACCTATTCACCATCAAGTTCCCGTGCTGCGACTTTCCTATATCTGGTAAGACACAGACAAATTCACGTTGAAAGTAGAGCGTGATCTGAGTCTAAACGTGTGTTTCAGAATGAGCTACAGTGTTCTGTTGAGCGCCTACTACGATGGCTAACGACGATGTGATCAATTAAGGTCAATCGATGAGTCGGTTGTGAAGGTCGCTACGTCAAATGATATTTTACCCTTACGTTCAAAGTTGGTGTCTGTTAGAAACAGACGGTTGTTCGAGCATTATAACGGTAAATGGTCGCAATTATCTATTCAATGAGCCACAACGTCGTCATATTCATCTAAGTGCCCTTCAGTTTGGTTCAGTCTTACGACTAGAACGTTTAAATAAAACTGAAGTATTGTTACATCAAAGCGCTTAGCTTTTAGGATAAGGTTTGATAGCTTGCTATAAAGTTCATTTTTAACCTCATTGTATCTGCAATCAAGGGGAACGTAGGCAAAGATAACGAAAAATCAACGGCGTGTGTCCTAATATTTTTGAGTTTCTACTGTCTCCTTTAGTCGAACAGCGCACAAGCGACTTTCCACTGGGTACCAGTGTGATAGAGCCTGTTCTGCTTTAGAACTTAATACTATACCTACACCAGCGAGGCCATAGGAAGTAGCGGTGGGATCTCCAAATAATCGACAGGTAAATCGTGCATGTTCTTTCCACTGACAAGGTGAGATCGAATGAGTGATTGTACTCAGGTCCTGTATGCCTGTTTCGGGGACGCACAACACGTCGAAGGCGTGAGATTCTAGAGTCCTAACTAAAGAATCTTGTTGTCGTTTAGAATACAAGGTTCGAAAATTAGAAGCTCTAACATCTAGTTTAGAGTGTGGTTTCAGGAGACCACAGATAACATTTTGTGATAAAAATATACGAGAAGGGTTAGTTGTGGGGATGATAGATTTGTTAAAAGGTAAGGGAAGCATTCTGTCGTCAACATTAAGATACTGGTGGCTGATAGGTGTATGAAGGCAGTTGTCACTTTCCGGTTGTCATCACCATAGAAGGACATTATTCTTGAGTGACTTGAAAAAGAAGCTCAATCACAAGTGGCCTTAATAATCTGCAGACATACATTTTTTAACATATACAACTATATCAGATTGAAACTCCAGGAATAATGAATCACTTTTAGCTTCATATGTCTTTAGTGTTTAAATTATATTTTATTACCACTAAGATAATTCATAAACTATAGAAATCCCTAATTTAACGGAATCTAAAGAATGCTCAGAGCTAACAACAAAAGTTATACTGAATGAGGTCAATTATTTCAAAATATCTATGCACACATTTCATGATATCATAGTCATGTGACCTGACTCTAGAAGAGAGTTTTATTTATGAGTTTAATAACAAGATAACTAATGACTCATTATTAAAGTGACTATTATAATATATAACGTTTCAAAACCATAAATGCATCGTGCATATGTACATATATATACTGTGAATCAGTGTTTAAATCGTCCAACTTACCATACCATTTATCTTTCTCATATGATATATTATATCCTGGTTGGCAAGTTGTTTTACATGGAGGTGTTTCAACATCACCACCACATGAAGGTAATGGACCGACTACATGGTGTTCACACGGTGGAAATTCATAGGGCTGACAACCGTTTGTTGTATTATATAAATCACCTGTTACTATACCTTGGTTTTTCCAATATAACCATGCTGAATGTGGGAAACCACCATTACAACCCATTCCACATGATGAACAACAAGATACCAAATTTTCTGCACTTAAAAATGGCTTATGCTTCCCTTTTGATTTTATACAAATACGATCAGACATAGCTTCAACTGCTCCAAATGCCTGTGGGATTATTGTAACGCAGGAAAGATAATATATTAATGAAGTGGAAATTGGGTTGACTGTATTTAATGCATGTGGAATGATTAAACGAAATGAATTTATTTTGTTGAGATTTAAAAGTGATGACTTCGTAGGGTCAAGCAACAAAATTAATGCGAACATTGATTGTCCTGTACCAAACAAAATATTGTTTACCACAATTAAAGATCGACAGGTACCCCTTATATGATATCCCAAACAAAGTGTATAAATTTACATATATTTACCCTTGCAATCTCGCTGGTCAAGCGGAAAGAAGAGTCTACATTTGATTCTAAGAACATATTCCAAAAGAAACACGAGTAAATCTTTCTGCACCATAACAATATAAAGCTAATTTCATAATGTGATTTTTAAGACATTTTCTCATATATTGACTGTATTATTTCCAGTCGTTCTAAATTCATAACTCTACTTTTAAATGACTTTTAAAAGACTGTTATTCCTTTTTATCAGCTACTTCGTAAAATTTACAAGTTTTTTTTTTTTTGGCTCTGTGATCTTTAGTTGTTAGTCTGATGTTATAAAATAGTTTTACACATACTTTATTTGTTTATAATTCTTCTCCAATCTTAGTAATTCTATTGAAATCATTGCTCCACTGTGATGATAACAATTCACTTCTAACCGACTTCACCCAGGGAATAAAATGAATTTATGCAATTCTACTTATATGACTAAAATTACGGTGCGAGTATGAAAAAAGACTAACTTGTTGAAATGAATTTTTATTCATGAACTTAATGTAGACTTTATTTGCTAATAATTTTCTGTTATTAATCACGTATTCCATAAATTCATTTTATTTCTACGATTATTCTTATTAACTTATGGTGACATATATTCAGTGATTTTTGTAACAACAAAAATAAAAACCACATTTTTTCTCTAATTTGTCACACTTTATTTGTAACCACATTTTTATTCAATATCTGTTGTTTTGCTGCACCACTTGTTAAAAATACGATGATAATTGTTTTGATGAATGATATACGATTCTACTACCGCGTTGTTTAAAATATAGAACTGTAACGGGATTAAAATCATCATGTATGATGTTGTTAATAGATTTTGTTTTCTTTCTATTGCAAGGCAAGCAAAAATAAACGCTTTAGAAGAAGAAGAGCAAGCCCTGCACGCACTAAACTTACAGGATGACTCATAAGACCGTTTTGTAAACTAGCTCTCTTTCTGTACAGAACCCGTGAATTTTAGTTTTAAAATAAACGACTGTTGGTCTCCGTTCTGCGTTCTCTCTGTGGTGTGAAGTGTTCAGTTAACATAGTGTGTGTTGTGGCTTTAGGTCTTCCCGCCTTCCAGTGACTGCTGATTACACGTGTTACAACTGGTGATAGAGGTGCAGACGGAAAAACGCGATGAGAACCTAGACGAACCCCATCTGATTCCAATCAGGGTTGCTCCCGGTTCAACCCCACGCCAGCCACCACTGCTAGAAACATCATCAGATTACTCCGTTTGGAAATTTAAAGTCACAGCGTACCTTCAGAGAGTTCCATTGACCGAGCATTTCAACTACCTCGTTTCCTATCTGAGCGATGAAGCAGTACGCAGGGCTATAGCGAATGGTTTTGCGGCCAGTAACACGCTCTCACAAAACTGGAGAATTCTAGACGACTGTTTTTCCATGCCCGTAGACACTCAGCAGATGACAATTCAGTTTTTATCACGCAACCAGAAAGCGAGCGAGAGTCCAATAGACTATCTTCATTCCCTGGAGCAAGTCGCAGTACAAGCATTCCCTCGGTTAGATATGATAGGACGAGAGGAACTAATACGCTCACGTTTTGTCGAGGGCCTGTTGCCCGGACCACTCAAAAAACACTTTCTTCGAAATCCACCAACTGATACGTTTGACGTAAAAAGAACAACATTACGCTTCCTCGCCGCTGACAAACTAGTGAATTTATCCAGTGCACATTCATCATCAGTAACGACTGTGGGACGAGCTACAAAATCTAGTGGCCCGGACACCTTCCAGACTACAATGGCTGTGACCGACCTTCCCGGCCGAGGTGCTATCCGCGGACAGTCAAATTCGAGGTGGAATAAACAACCAGCATGGGAACCTGCAATGGGCGTCAAGCCGACTGTATATATTGCAAAAGGTTTGGCAGGAACGCCAGAAGATGTGGTCACAACCGCCCCCGTAAACCAGGTAAGCGGCGTTTTGGTTACTTATCTTCCTATGTTAATCATGTCAATCCAACTACATTTAAAGGTAGAGTACAAGACATCGAGCTAGACATACTTCTAGACACAGGAGCTTCAGTATCCCTCATTAAGGAAGACTTCTTGCAGAGACTTAACCACAGCACTCAGCGTAAACAGTGCTCCTCTACCTTAATCACAGCGAGCGGAAACCCCTTGATTGCGTGTTCTAAGATCGGGTTAGAGCTAACAATAAACAAGAACTCTTTTTGACATGAATTCCTGGTTTGCCCCACTTTGACCTGGAACATGATTCTCGGGGTTGACTTCATGGTAAGATATCAGGTCTCTATAGACATGAATAAGTCAGAAGCTAAAATTGGCGGGGTTGTCGTGCAACTACAACTCCAGGAAATACCAACCGAAACCGTAGCTCAATTGGGAATCGCAGAGATTGTACGTCAGGTACAAGATAATCAATAATAAACGAAAAGGACCGTCGAGCAACCATTGACGTACTTCAACGATTTAACTCTGTTTTCTCGGAGAATATCTCTGGAAATCGGACAACCATTGTGCAACATCCCATTGTTACAGGTGACCACATGCCGTCACGCCAACCACCTCGCAGAGTCCCGGTGCATTATCAGCCTCATTTAGAATCAATGATAAAAGATATGCTAGAAAAAAAGATTATTGTACCATCTTCGTCACCCTGGGCATCGCCAATTGTCTTAATAAAAAAGAAGGATTCCTCCCTACGACTGTGTGTAGATTACCGACGCCTTAATGCTATAACTAAGCGTGATTCTTTTCCACTTCCACGGATAGACGCTACCTTAGATGCCATGAAAGGTGCTCGCTGGTTCTCAACGCTAGACTTAGCATCAGGGTATTGACAAGTGGAAGTCCGACCCCAAGATAGAAAAAAAATGCATTTGTAGTGCCTAATGGCTTATATGAATTTCAAGTAATGCCTTTCGGGCTAACTAATGCCCCAGCCACCTTCCAACGATTGATGGAGACAGTTCTGCAAGGTCTCGTACTGCACCAGTGCTTAATCTACCTTGATGATATTATTGTATATGGCAGCACGCCAGAACAACATAATGCCAATTTGAAGGCAGTCCTACAACGTATTAGGCAGCATAACCTAAAAGTGAAACCATCTAAATGTCGACTGTTGCAAAAAGAAGTGCTCTTTTTAGGGCACCGCATTACGGAAGATGGAGTGGCAAAAGATAAAGAAAAGACACGTGTGATTGTTAATTGGCCGCAACCGAAATCACCCGAAGACGTTCGTAGCTTCCTTGGACTAGCTTCTTACTATAGACTCTTCGTACGTGATTTCGCATCATTAGTAGCACCTTTACACCGATTAACCTACAAAGGACGAAAAGTTTTATGGACCAGCGAGTGTCAACAGGCGTTCGATGCTTTGAAGGCTCGGTTAACTTCTCCACCTATATTAGCCTTTCCAGATACTTCAGCAGACGGTGGCGAATTTATACTTGATACGGATGCTAGTTCCTCGGCTATTGGAGCAGTTTTATCACAAGTAGCTCGAGATGGACACGAAAGGGTCATTGCGTATGCTAGTCGACGACTAGATAAGAGTGAAACACGATATTCTACAACACGTCGGGAGATGTTAGCACTAGTAAAATTCTTACAACATTTCCGCCATTATCTGCTGGGCAAACCCTTTCGTGTGCGCACGGATCACCGTGCACTACAGTGGCTCCGCTCTTTCCGCGAACCAGAAGGGCAAGTGGCACACTGGCAGGAACGACTACAAGAGTTCGATTTCACATGCGAGTATCGACCGGGAAATCGACATACAAACGCGGATGCCCTCTCCCGAATACCCCAGACCACAGATTATTATTATTATTAATGGCTTTATTCAATATTATATTATTAACGCAATTCTTAGTACAGCTCCAAAGACAGACTGGCCCTCCCTACAAGCAACAGATCCAAACTTACAGATTGTTTATCAAAGACAGCTACATGGAAATAGTAAGCCATCCATGAGGGAGCTTAAAGATCAGTCCGTAACAACTCGTCGTATTTGCACCAAATGGGACAACCTCAAACTATATGGTGACACATTATTCCTAATGAATGAATCAAAACAACCCCTACTGATAGTACCGCGAGTGAAAGTTGAGAGCATTGTGGAACAGGTACACCGCGAACTTGCTCATGCGAGAGAACGGAGAACTGAACACGCTGTCCATCAACGCTTTTGGTGGCCATCCATACACGAAGATGTAGCTCGGTTTTGCAAGAATTGTAAAACGTGCTGCCGTTTTAAATCGCCTCAGCAGACACCCCGTGCACCAATGACGCCGATGGTAACGACAGGACCACACCAGCGAGTTGGCATAGACACCATGGGACCACTGACTACGACAAAAAACGGGAACCGCTACATACTGGTTATGGTGGATTACTTCACTAAATGGTGCGAAGCTGTACCCCTTCCACAGCAAGACGCCCTTACTGTTGCCCAAGCTTTCATCGATCATTGGGTCTCCCGTTATGATGCTCCTGTCTCACTCCACTCCGACCAAGGTCCATCCTTTGAAAGCCACCTCATTACTGAGATATGCCGGCTATTAGGAATCAAGAAGACACACACCACTGCGTATCACCCAGAAGGTAACGGTCTCGTGGAAAGAACAAACAGAACTATTAAAGCCATCTTGCAGTCGTTTGTCAGCAGATCGTCACCTGAGTTATGGGATGAGGTGTTTCCCCAATGCCTTTTAGCATACCGTACGTCGGTACATGGGTCCACGGGATTCTCGCCTGCTATTTTGCTGTTTGGGCACGAATTACGCTTACCAATAGAGATACAGTCACCCCTGCTGCCCTACGAAGAACAAGAGCATGTTCCGTACATACGTACTCTTCGCAATCGACTAGCTGATGCATACCGTCTGGTCAACATTAACTTATGCAAGGACACCAAAAAGATATATATGATCGTCAAGCACAAGGACCTAGGTATATAATTGGAGATCGCGTCTGGTTACGCCGCCCAATGACATCGCTAGGGGGTTGCAGTAAATTCCATCAGCCCTGACAAGGCCCCTTTGAAATTGTCCTCATCCGATCGCCCACCACGTTTGTATTGCGTAACATACAACGGCCTAAAGACGACGTGATAACGGTGCACTACAACTAGATAAAACCCGATCGGACGACATTTCCCTTCGATGCTCAACTCGCTGATCCACCGCCGGCCACTAAATTTTACGAAGTACCATCTGAAGGAGGGACAGCATACCCGTGCCCAAGATCAGGCACTGAGGACAGTGCCTCATTAGGAAAGGGGGCGATGTAACGGGATTAAAATCATCATGTATGATGTTGTTAATAGATTTTGTTTTCTTTCTATTGCAAGGCAAGCAAAAATAAACGCTTTAGAAGAAGAAGAAGAGCAAGCCCTGCACGCACTAAACTTACAGGATGACTCATAAGACCGTTTTGTAAACTAGCTCTCTTTCTGTACAGAACCCGTGAATTTTAGTTTTAAAATAAACGACTGTTGGTCTCCGTTCTGCGTTCTCTCTGTGGTGTGAAGTGTTCAGTTAACATAGTGTGTGTTGTGGCTTTAGGTCTTCCCGCCTTCCAGTGACTGCTGATTACACGTGTTACAGAACACTATCTACGCCGTTTGTTCTTCTGTTTTATTGGCCACCGTTTCGATTGAAGACTATAATAGTATTATAACATCATTATAGGCCTTCCTACTCAACGTTGGACTTTTGGAGCGGATTACTTGTTATGAACGGGGAATTAAGAAGCCCAGACAATCACGAAAGCTATTTTCTTGGGACGTTATTGCATTTCATTCAAACCCTGTAAAACACTTATATTTATTTTTGTCCCTATCTTATTCTACATAACACGAGCTTTCGTTCTATGTATCATTCACTAGCATACTCTTTTTTGTTCCGAAAATATTGTAATTTAAACATAATATTTTGCACTGTATTTTCTACCCTAATTCCCTGTTTCGGGCATAACTGTATTTTTCCAAATTATTGTACGTCGTAGTCAAGATATTCACTTATTTATTCATGTACATTTTTGTACTAATCCGAATCCAGAGTTCAGTGTTCCAACTGTCTTGTCTTCTCTCACTTGCGTGCTTGCCAACCAATCAGGTTCTAGAATAGTTATCTCTCTACCCCATTTCGAACTCACGCGTGATAGACTCAAGGTTAAGCCGCTCACCCTATCGCGTCAAGGTCATAGTTTAGTCTAGACAGATCAAGGTGAAGTCATAACAAGTATCACGGGGTAAAAGCGATTCAAGGTCATAACATTACTATTGTATAATTCTATAGGACTCCGTCTTCCTCATTACCTCATTGGTACAGTCACTTGCAGAGGAACACCTGTCAATCAAGTGAACTCAGTTTGTGGTCGTTGTTCTCACGAGGAAGTTCACAAGTAACATTCATTCTATAGTGATTGTTAGTGTCTGTTTGTTTAATATATCTTTTGTATTACTAACGGTATTTTGTTACCTTTGGTTTTACTAACGGACAGACATCTAGGTTTATTTACTATTAATTTTTTTGGTATATCATTATTAACCTAGTGTATCAATATATTTTGTATAAGCTCCTTTTGTTTGAGAACCACCACAAACTACAAATTTTTATTTAGATCGACCTCAAATTTTGCTGTACCCTATTTCTATGTTGCATTGAGTGTCGTTCATTAGATACACGAACTACATATTACCACACCTCGTTCTCTCTCAGTTCGCTGGCAAATCAACAGGTCTCTAATATATCTGTTATATACACATTTACAGCCTCTCAAAATCACTTGTATTAATCATCATCTTGAACAATAATCCACATATTAAAGTTGTCAGTTCCTCGTCATTATAGTGGACTTATTTTTTCAACCTATTGGGAATTCAACTACTGATAATTTGGAGACGAATTACGGATAGTGTAAAAATATATATCTCCCATATTATTAACTCAATTTTATACGTTTTTTTTTAGAGTAACATCGCTAGACTTTAAATATTTTCCTTTTAGTCCGCTGAAACATTTCTCCATCAAAACAATTTTAGTTAAAGTCGTAATACACAAGAAAATAAATAAGTGACATATGATAATATAAACGTTGTAAACTACCAAAAGGTATTTAATATTTTAACACTTACTACTTACCCAACAAGAACCACAAGATGACTGGTCACGTATTTCAGAGATAGAAGGACAATGTGGCCATTCTACCCTCGCATCAAAGCTCTTGGGTAATTCATCTGATGTGTAACCAGCACATAAAATCTCTAGTTGTTCATTATTTGGATCTGGAAGTGCACCTAACATTCTACGAATATCAGATACTGTCCTAAATCTTGTAGTAGGAGCAGCTTTCCAAGTCGTATTGGCCTTAATATTTTATGACAGAAAGAAAAAAGGAAGATGTTCAGATATATTATTGTAACTTATGATGGTCATTATTGAATCCAAAACTAATTCTCAATATCTTCAAACCAAATATTCCGTTTAGAGTTTTCTAACTTTCTTGCATACAAATGTCAAACAGAAATTAACTTTGTTTGCTCAGGTATGTGGGTGTGCGATCAATCCTCTGAAATAAAGTGACACGTGATGAAGTGATAATTGCTAAAGGGAATCTAATTACTGACATGGAGGTTCTCTCAAGCGACTGTAGAATACAGGGTTTTGTGGGTCATTAATCAACCATTAAAACTGAGACGTGACCATCTGGCTTAATTTTTGACTACTATATCGAAAACCCTAATGGTGATCTTTATTATCAGTTGCTAGCGATGTAACGGAAACTTCGAATTGGTTTTCCACAATCCAGGTTCTCAAAGATGTGCAGCAAAAAATTAGTAGCATCAGTGACTAACATAACTGAACTTCTTTCCTTAACTCACTTAACAACGGTATTTCCAATTAAGTGGTTGGAATAGTCTTATGATTATTTAAGCAGCAAATTATCATTGAAAAGGAAATAAGTGATAGCCACATATTGCTGTTAGGATGAGGGGAACAAAAGATGACTACCTTTTGTTTAATTTGTTTGTCTATTTCAACAGAATATTTATTAATTAGTTGTAATAAAATTTTTCTTTTTGCACAACCGTCATTGACTCAGTGATTGTTTCTGTACTCTTTAGTGTTTACAAACTACAAGTTAGATAACTTTAAATCTAGTATTGAGCTTTGTACGGCGGTCATGAATCTAATGATAATTATTGTCCGTAATGCGTTATGCTATATTTTACATAAATAATTAGGTGGGTTTTTTTAGTTTAAGTAACAACAGATCATCGTGATTACTGAACAAGGTCACTATTGAAAATCATAAATTCCGGTGTCATATTTATCAGTCTTATGGGGGATTTCCTGATTGACTGAACACCGCTCGAAACGTGAATATTTTGTAAGAATACTTCAGTACTCACCCAAAAGTAGATTCATTCTGTCTCACCTTAATTATTAAAAGGCAGGATGTAAAATACTACTAAGCAGATGAATTTTAAATATAAAATATGAAAAACATATTCATTTATATCTTTCCGTTGACGTTGAGGACTGCAATCGATCAGTCTCTTATTGACATATGTGCATGTTGTGCGCATTGCCTCGATATAGCCTCAAGTCACAAGCATGCTAAGCAAAGACGGATAGTAGCCAACAGTGAAATCCAGGACGTGTGTTTCGTGCCATTTGACACTCGTCAGCTGGATATACCTCTATCCTAGAGTAGATGTTTACAACATGCACATATGCCAATAACATCCTGATCAGTTGCAGTCCTCGACTTCAATAGGAAGAATCAAATAACTGATACAAATAAATTAAGCTTCACCCGATTGCATAAGCTAGTACCTCTGGACTCAGTAGCTAAATTGATAATGCAATGGCGTTTGAATCTAACGGTACTGGGTTCGAGTGTTCAAGTAAACATCAACTCAAGAATGCAGTCACATCCGACAGACTTACCACAAATAGGACCAAACTTTTAGCATGAATTCCACTGTTAGCCATCACCCATCTTTATTGAAAACTAGGTTTCTTGGATTTTGATTTTATCGAGCTGTAATATATATAACCAGTTATTGTTTTCAATTCACTAGTTATTTGTTATTGTACTTGTAAATTTTATAGTTGGTTTCAGTAGCGTATGAGACTGCAATTACGTACCGTAAATAAATCCCAGACCAAGCTAAGGTAGTTATTTATTATTTTCTGGTTTTTCAACTGATGCTAGTCTATCTTGAAAACAGACTTTAGGTTGAACGAATTTCTATAAACTACTCAATCATAAATAACTAATAGTTATCAGTCTTGTATAGGATTACACAGAAATATTAGCTTTCTGAATGATTAATGCATAAATAGAACAGTAATATCTTTTACTGAATTTCATGATTAATTTTAATTTCTGAAGGAAAGTATCTATGAGGCAAAATATTTTAAGACTACTTAAATGTAAGTGATTATAATTTCAGTAAAATATGTTGAAAAATATATGAAGATAAAGATTGATATAACAGATCAAAAAGATCGTCTTATTTTTTCTATTGAGTATTTAAACAATCATATGTGGTCAAACATAACTTCAATGTAACAGTACCGTGTTAGCGTTGAGTTCCGAATCAAGATAAAATAATTGCCCTATAGATTCTGATTTTAGAGCAAAGTAAGTATATCGGAAGAACAGAAATGTGACTATCAACCCGAATCACCAAGGAAATTTTGTAGGATATATTTTCTATAGGCTAAAACGGTACTGATAGTTTTATCATGCATTCATCTTATTCACTTCTCAATTGTTCATGAATAGACTTGAATCTCACATTGCTTGATAAAACGATGATTTGGAATTCCTCATCTTGAATTCACAAATTCAATGAGTTTTATAAATCAAGTTAAGAATAAATAAAAAATATTCCCTGGCGTCCTTGGAAGACTAAACAGTGTTGTACATTTCAACTGCAAAATAATTCTTAAGTGGTAACTTATTTTTGTTATAACACGATACAGATTTCACGTTTGAGATAATAAATATGTCAACCTGAAAAAATAACTAATATTCTACTATGAAGATGGCCGACGAATTTCGGCCGATGAACTCTTATAAACTAGACGACATTGGTTAGTCATTTCGTTATAGCTTCCTGGAACACAGCATTGAGCACATATGCACTTGTCAGAGATCAAACATAGACTCACAGGTCACTCCTTAAGTGAGAACAATTTTTAAATAGAACTAAGTTGAAGTTTAATAATTTATATCTATAACTTCAATCAATCATTGAATTCATTAGACGGTATCATCAGTAAGGAGTGTCACACTATCAACATGCTTGAATTACATTTGTCATAGATTCTCAGGACTTCAGAAGTTCCACTTGAAGTTATTTATCATTAAACATATTATATAATAATAATAATTAATTTACATATAATATAACTTAATGTATATTTCATTTACCTCATAATTGATATAATTGATTAGTTCCAACGAGAGAGGTTGGTACATACGTTTATGTTGTTTGGCATCAATTTCATTTAAAGTATAACTTAGTAAAATTATTATGTAATATTGTAATAAGTAAAAATTGTACTGAATCATTACCATCATATAAATAAACAATTTAAATAATTTAGAATATTTATATACTAAAATGTAAACTATTTTTTCTCTATAAATTATTTATTCAATTATTATACTGACTATTTGTCCATACAATTGGACATGCATACAAATATCCTGGTTCTTGTGTACCATTCTCACAGCTTACACATTACACTATAATGTATAAACAATTGACTTTCCATTACATTATCGTAATTTGATTGGTTTCTTTCGAATAATGTAACTAATCTGTATAATAATACTATAAATGACCTCCGTTATTTAAATTTCGACTAATAGTTAGTGTAATAAGCATACAATATACGATTTGTGTTTTCTGCAGTGTTAATTAATTGATAACAGTTCTTAAATATCCAATGGGTGTGAAGTAATACGATGTTCTTCAGTATAAGGTTGTGTAGATTATGGAGATGGAAACGCAACAATCTCCACAACCCTATACTGATAATTACGATGTGCTTACTAGTGCGATAAGCCTAACATGGAAAGGCTGGGACGCAGAAGATCATTTGTAAATGACTCCAGCTTATTGACGATATGTTTCCCAACACATAAAGAGGGTTTCAGCTTGCGTATAGTCACGGCTTCGATAAAACTTGGTATGCGACCTTTAAAACTTCTGTATAACACTACATTGGCTGACGTTTTATTAACCATATGACAAGTCTCAACCAAATACTTATCAAGGTATGGAGATACTTGTCCATCCTGTGATCTTATTTGACCATTGGAATTCATCTGTTTCAGTAGCTATTTAAGTATGTGTCCAACCACCTTTTATCGGAGATCATTATTACTCCACTCTATGTATGTGAACATCAACTGTGGGATGCAGGTACATCCAGCTGACGAGTCCCAAATAAGACGAAACGCGCATCCTGCAATACACTGCTATACACCATTCATCTTTGCTTAGAATGCTTTTGACGTAAGGCAATATCGAGGTAATCCGTACACTATGCATATATGCCAACAAGAAACTGATCAATTGCAGTCCTAAACATCAATCGAAAGTTTCAAGTAGACAATTGCAATAGATTACAATAGGTTCATCGTCCTAAAAATTGCCTTTTCATATTGTTGTCTCATGTTTATAGTATGAATACTGCTAATTACTGACATAAACTGCCCTGATTTATTTTAGGATATTTCCTTCCTCAGTGTTTACTCGTGACACTTAATGTGTTCGTTTTAGTTCCGTAGAGCTGTCATTATTGTTAACTGGTCACATGTATGCGTCAACTTGCTGAAATAAAATTATCAAGGAAAACGCACGGGGTTATAGTGATTCTGAACTCCGCCTGTAGCTTTTCTAGAGTTACTGCCGGTCCCAAGCCCGGGTAAAGGAGGAGGGTTGAGCATGGGGTTGGCGTCCCTTTCCCGTAGAAAACTAACTCGCTAAAAAAACACTTACCAGAAAAAATAATTCAAACCATTTTAACTCTGCCCTAGGAGTTAGAAGGTCTTCTTTCAGAAGAATTATGACGCTTCATGGTGAAAGCCGAGTTCCTTCGGAAGCCACGAGATCGATGCCCCTTCTAACAACCAGAGCGAAGATGTTTGTAGGTACATGGAACGTTCGAACAATGTAGGAGACCGAGAAGACCAGTCAAATAGCAACTGAAATGAGGAGATACAATTTGGCAGTACTGGGAATCAGCGAAACCCACTGGACCCAAGCTGGACAGAAAAGGCTAGCTACGGGAGAGATGCTGCTATACTCTGGTCACGAAAAGGAAAATGCTCCACACACTCAGGGAGTCGCTCTAATGCTGTCCAAAGTAGCACAAAATGCACTTGTAGAATGGGAATCTGACGGATCCAGAATCATCAAAGCATCGTTCAAAACAAAGAAGGAGGGGATTTTAATGAATATTATCCAATGTTATGCACCCACCAATGATAGCAACGATGACATTAAAGATCAATTCTACGAGCGGCTGCAGTCAATCATAGAGAAATGCCCAAGAAAGGACCTCATCATTCTAATGGGAGATCTAAATGCCAAAGTCGGAATAGACAACACCGGATGTGAAGATATTATAAGACGACATGGACTGGAACAGAGAAACGAAAATGGAGAAAGATTTGCAAATCTATGTGCATTCAACAAATTGGTCATAGGGGGCACAATATTTCCACACAAGCGTATACACAAGGCTGCATGGATCTCACCGGACCACACTACAGAGAACCAGATAGATCATATTTGCATCAACAAAAAATTCCGAAGGACAATGGAAGATGTGAGAACCAGGAGAGGAGCTGACATAGATTCAGATCATCACTTAGTTGTGGCCAAGATGAAAGTGAAGCTAAAAAAGAACTGGACAACTGAACAAACAGCAATACAAAGGTTCAATACAGCCTTCCTTCGAGATATTGACAAACTCAATGAATTCAAGATAGCTCTCAACAACAGGTTCCAAGCCTTACAAGATCTACTGAAAGGAGAAACTACTATGGAGGATAACTGGAAAAGTATTAAAGAAGCATTAACTTCAACGTGTCAAGAGGTTCTGGGCCTAAAGAAACACCATCATAAGGAGTGGATCTCTATAGAAACACTGGACAAGATCAAAAAAAGGAAGAACAAGAAGGCAGCAATTAACAACAGCCGAACACGAGCAGAGAAAGTCCAAGAACAAGCTGAATACACGGAAGCAAACAAGCAAGTGAAGAAAAGCATTAGAGCCGACAAGAAGAAACACGTGGAAGAACTAGCAACGACGGCGGAAAAAGCTGCTAGAGAAGGAAATATGAAACTGCTTTACGATACAACGAAGAAACTATCAGGGAAATACAGTAAACCAGAGAGACCGTTCAAAGACAAAGAAGGCAAGCCAATCACTGAGATTCAACAACAGCGGAACAGATGGGTAGAATACTTCGAGGAACTCCTGAATAGGCCGGCTCCAATGAATCCACCGGACATCGAAGCAGCGCACACAGACCTTCCTATAGATGTCAATCCACCAACGAAGGAAGAAATCAGAATGGCCGTCAAACAAATCAAGAACGGCAAAACAGCGGGACCGGATAACATACCAGCTGAAGCACTGAAGTCAGACATGGAATTGACTACAAACATGCTGTACCTTCTATTCAAAAAGATTTGAGAGGAGTAACAAGTGCCGATGGACTGGAAAGAAGGGCACCTCGTCAAGATTCCAAAGAAAGGAGATCTGAGCAAATGTGAAAACTATAGAGGCATTACACTGCTGTCAATACCAGGGAAGGTCTTCAACAGAGTGTTGCTGAACCGGATGAAAGATGCAGTAGACGCCCACCTTCGAGATCAACAAGCTGGATTCCGTAAGGATCGATCATGCACAGACCAAATTGCAACACTACGGATCATCGTCGAACAATCAGTTGAGTGGAACTCGTCACTATACATCAACTTCATTGATTATGAAAAGGCATTTGACAGTGTGGATAGGAGGACGTTATGGAAACTTCTTCGACACTACGGAGTTCCTGAGAAGATTGTCCATATTATCCGGAACTCATACGACGGACTACAATGCAAAGTCGTGCATGGAGGACAGCGATCCAATCACTCTTGATGGCGAAACACTGGAAGATGTAGAATCCTTCACATACCTGAGAAGCATCATCGATGAACAAGGGGGCTCAGATGCAGACGTAAAGGCAAGGATCGGCAAAGCAAGGGTCGCATTCCTACAATTCAAAAACATATGAAACTCAAAACAACTTTCAACCAATATCAAAGTGAGAATCTTCAATACCAACGTCAAGGCAGTTCTACTGTATGGAGTTGAAACTTGGAGAACTACAACAACCACCATCAAGAAGGTACAAGTATTTATAAATAGCTGTCTTCGCAAGATACTCAACATCCATTGGCCGGATACCATCAGCAACAGCCTTTTGTGGGAGAGAACAAATCAGCTTCCAGCTGAAGAAGAAATTAGGAAAAGACGATGGAAATGGATAGGACATACATTACGAAAATCGTCAAACTGCATCACGAGGCAAGCCCTAACTTGGAATCCTGAAGGGAAGTAGAAAAGAGGAAGGCCTAAGAACACATTACGTCGGATAATAGAAGCAGATATGAAAAGGATGAATAGGAATTGGAAGGAGCTGGAAAGGACTACCCAGGACAGGGTTGGATGGAGAATGCTGGTGAGCGACCTATGCTCCTTCACGAGGAGTAACAGGCGTAAGTAAGTATAGTGGTTCTGGTTTAAGAGAACGGCCAGTTTACCTCAGAAATTATAGTTAAATAAGCTAAGCGTACCGGGAATCACTCGACGTCGTGAGAAAATCTTAGTAAATTGTGGTAAACTGCATAGAGTTATGATGCTTTAAATGTTCTCATTTGCCTGTTCTAGGCAGATTTTGGAATTCCATGAGAAATCAGGCTGTTTTACAATGGTCTTTTATGGACCGCTTACGTGTTGTTTTACCGTTTAGGCTTATGAGTAGATTATGTGACTTGAACGGTGATTAATTTACCGTTTATAAGAATGTGTTTAGATGAACTATCATCAAAACCATCAGCTTATCTTCATACTTGATTCAATCCAATTTGGTCAACCTGAATACCTACGACTATGATTTGAGGTGATCATTACAGAGTGGATTAATTTTTGTTCTCTTGGATTTTAGAGCACCAAATACGAAATTTTATGCACCAAACAATCATGGGTTGATCGATTTCCCCATCGAGTGGTTAATGACCAAGATAAGCTAGCCAGTACTTTTCACTTGGGTGTAATCGAGATGAAACTGGGAAACAGAGAAATCGCTGAAAAATTCCCATTATATTAAAACACAATTGTATGAACGAAGAATATTCTTTTCAATAATTTCTCATCAGGTTCTACAATTAACAAGTTAACACTTCATATTAGTCAACCCCAACATTAACAATTCTATTTATATAACAAACAATTCCTGATTCACATATTACAGTTTCCAAATGATTTATTTTGCCATAAATCTGGCCAATTTTA